CTGTGGTGACCTATTATAGCTTCCAATTCGGGGTGGTAGAGGAGAGAACAATCTAGCCCTCCCGCTTTTGTGTTTTGTTGTGAGGACTCATCTAGCACTCAGGCCAAATGATGGGAAATGGGGGATGGGGGGAGCATCTAAAACTAGGGCTGGGCCCCAGGGAGCTGTAAACGCAGAGGAATGCTCTGTTCCTTGCCTTCTTGGCAGAATGGGAATTCACACAGAACCAGGACTTCCGGCTGAACCTGCACCAGCCCCGCTTTCCTGGCTGCCTGGCTTCCGTGACTCCTAGGGAGTACTGCCTCTGCCCCTGAAGGCTCCAACTGGCTTGGGAGACCTGACCCATCCCCCGAGGCCAAGCTGCCTCAGAAGCTCAATGTGGGTTGTGGGGTAGATCCTATGGAGGCAGAAATTCTTTACAGACATGATCTTTAGGCTTCCAATGAGGCCTAGAGCCTGACAGTAAGGCCAGAGAGTAAATGAGTGTTGAATCTCATGTGGACCTTCTGTTTGGGGGTCTAAACTGCCCCAGAAGTCCTTCAGTCCTCAGGGCTGGGCTCAACCAGGCAGGAGGCAGTGGCTAATGCTTGCCCCAGGTAACACAGGCATGAGAAATATAACAGACTTGGCTTCTAGGCCAGGATGTGGAGATGCTGGGATTCAAAGGCAGTGTGGTCTGACTACAGGGGCCATATACTCATTTATTTATTTATTTATTTATTTATTTATTTATTTATTTATTTATTTATTTATTTATTTATGTTTACACAGGGTCTCCCTGCAGCCCCAGCTGGCCTGGAACTCACTATATAGACCAGGCTGGCCTCGAACTCAGAGATCTGCCTGCCTCTGCCTCCCAAATGCTGGGATTAAAGGAGTGTGCCACTATGCCTGGCCTCAGAGGCTATATACTTTTAAACCCTGTGCTCTGTCTTCTCTGATGAACCTGGGCCTCCTGGGTCCCAGTTGGCTTGAGTCCCTCATGTCTTTTTCCTCTCTTGGCTCTTGCAATGCTTGAGCCATCAGAGTTTACAAACCTACCTGGGACAGCCTCAGGTTCCCACAAGTCCAGCACTTGAAGAACCTTCAGAGCCGACCTCATTATTATGTAGAAATTGGTTCTGACTCCAGATCACAGGCAGGTGTAGTTTGTGGAGAATTGGCATTTGGGGCCCCTACCGGCCAGTCAAAGGTATTACCCTTGACTCTGCCACCAGTTGACTCCCCCTGATGCACTGAAAAGTTTATCTTCACTTTGACCTCACCCTGATGCAGCTATACCTCCAAGCAGCTGGAAGCCACAAAGGTTAGAAGGGCAGTAGCTTTTGCTGTCTTGTGAGGATATAGTTTGCAAGCACTATTTTTAAAAATTTTTCTTTTTCTTTTTAATTATGTGTATCTGTGTGTGTGTGCGTGTGTGTGTGTGTGTGTGTGTGTGTGTGTGTGTGTGTGTGTGTGTGTGTGTGTGTGTGTGTGTGTGTGTGTGTGTGTGTGTGTGTGTGTGTGTAAGTGCAGATGCCCGTGGCATCAGATCCCCCTGGAGCTGAAGTTATAGGCGGTTGTGATACACCCAAAATGGGTGCTAAGAACTGAACTCGGGTCCTCTGTAAGAGCACTGTGAGCTCTTAACCACTGAGTCATCTCTTCAGTCCTTGGAAACACTTTTTTTTTTTAATTTTTAATAACTACATGATTAGAAGAAGCATTTCATTACAGCTTTAACATATTCAGTAACACACTCCAGAGCAAGAGTACATCTCTTTCACAAGTTGCTGTAAGTTTCTAGGTTCACAGTTGAATTAATATAGTTATACAATATTGAACTCAGTATAAGCCCTGTAAGACATAAAATTGAATGAGTTTTTAACCTTTAAAAAAGATCTCCATTTCATTTTAGAATATATTGTTCCTTGCAGAAAGACTCATTGTTTTTGCTACTAACACTAAGATGTTGGCAAATGCATCTCTAATCTGTATGTATCTGATTATTACTAGTCATAATCGGTTGCACTTGGATCCTGGAGCCTGTGTATGCCTATGAAGTCATCGGGTAGATTTCAATTGTAATGTTTATCACCTCTACTAATTAGCATGATGTAAATTTCCATGCTTCCTCCTCAAATATAATACATTAAAAAAAATTGTTGGTTTTTTTTTTTGTGTGTGTGTGTGTGTATCACACAGAACATCCCAAACCATTTTATTCGACTATACACCCACTTCCCACATGGCACCCTCCCATAGCCTCCCTCCCCCCACTAGAGCCCTTATACTCTGATATCCCTGCTACTGTCTGCTGTGTTGTCGGCACCCCAGCTGTTCCCCACTACTTGTCCATCTGGTGAATCTAGTCAGCCTATCTAGAAGTCTTTGTTTTAGGAAGGTCAACTGTTCCTCATCTAGCGGTAATCAGTTGTCAGTATTCCTTTAGATAAGATTGAGGTCTGCTGCTCATGAAACACTTTTAATTAAAGAGGAATAGATGTAGGAAGAATGGAACTCTGTACACAGTCTGTGTTCTCTGGGGATGAAGTTGTAGCTTTGCTGATCTTTTGTTTGTTTTGGTTTTTGGTTTTTGTGTCCAGACAGGGTCACATTGTAGCCCCAGCTTGCCTGGAACTCATTATGTAGATCAGGCTGGCCTCAAACTCACAGAGGTACACCTGCCTCTGCCTTCTGAGTGCTGAGATTGATGGCGTGCACTGCCACGCTCTGCTGATCTTTTGTTATTATTATTTTAGGAATAAAAATGCTTTTATTCTTGGGGTAACTGTCTTGGGGAATTGCCCAAGACTTGGAAGCTAGATTTTGCATGAGAATCTGAGTCTAGGATGTGATGTTTGCTAATGAAGTGGAAGTCAGGGATGGCCATTGTGAGAGGAGTCCAGGAGAGACAGAGTCCAGGAAAGCCATGGCCAGGGGATCTGGGAGTAGCCAGAGTGGACTTCTTATTCCACAAGCTTCCAGAACTTGGCAGCCTTGAAAGCACCCCCATGGTCCATGATGCCCCTGGTCAGTTGTAGGTGTTCCTTAACCTTGGATGGGGGAGAGGGAGTGGGCTCACTGTTGTTTAGACATTCAAGGAAAAGACATCCCCCACGTCTAAGGCTGCCAAGTTTGTAATATCTCAAAGCCGTGAACTTGGGATATGAAGATACAAGGGGCTAGTCATGGCTAAATATTTGCTCTCTTGGTTCCCACAGTCATGATATGCAAGGAAAAAAAAAAAAAAGTCATAACATGGAAACATTCACTAGGCATCTGCCCATCTGGAAAAGCGATGCTCACTCACATTCTTCTCTTGCTTAGTAAGTCTATTCCATCTAGCTCAGGCAGTGTGGACCACAGTAGAGACAAGAAGATGGTACAAGTTCAGTGCAAACCAACTGCAAAGTTCAAGTTAAAGAAAATAATATCATCTTTATGCAAGGTCTTTAAGCCAGGATGGTGAGGTGGAGCTGGGCTAGTTAGCAGGTAAAGAAAAACTAAGGATGATGGCAAGATGGTTCAAAAGGGAATAACTGGAGTATCTTGAGGAATTGGGTGTAGCCCTTACATTTTAAACAGTCTCTTAATGAAGGCACTATAAAATAAAATAAAATAAAATAAAATAAAATAAAATAATAAAATAAAATAAAATAAGTAGAGGGGCTGGAGAGATGGCTTAGCAGTTAAGAGTACTGGTTGCTCTTTCAAAGGACCCTGGTTCAGTTCCCAGGACCCACATGGTGATTAATAACCATCTCCAGTTCCAGGTTATCCGACGCCCTCTTCTGGCCTCCATGGGCATTACATGACATGTATACACATACATAAATACAGGCAAAATATTTATACACATAAAAATAAATAAAAATGAAGAACGTGATATTGTGTGAACACATTATTTTGCTGATATTTAAAAAAATAGATTATAAAATGGCTTAAACAGTAAAGTATCTCTCATGCAAACATGAGGGCCTGAGTTTAAACCCTCAGCACTCACATAAAAAAAGCCAGGCACACAGTGCATTTATAATCCTAGCACCGGGAGAGCAGCGATAGGAGGATCCCTGGGGCTTGCTGGTTGGTAGTCTTACTGAACTGGTGAGTTCCAGTTCAGTGAGAGGCTCTATCTCAAAAAATAAGATGGAAAGCACTAGAAGAAGACACCCAGCATCAACCTCTGGGCTCCAAACATGTGTGTAATCACACACATGAACACACATATGCATATACTACACACACATATGCACCCACAAATAAAGTAAATATATACACATCAACATCAAAACCAACACTGATCCTATGTTCAACCTGAAAATTAACATATAACCTATACTTTATAATATGTATAGATAAAAATGACTTGTTTTCATAATTCTATTTGCATATAAGACCTCAATGATACCTTTTTGTTATTGCTTTTGTTTATTTTGAGAGAAGCAGGTTGTTTATTTTTAGGTAAGGTCTCACTCTGTAGCCAAGGCTGGCCTGGAACTCAGTTTCCATCTGCCTCCATTGCCTGAAAGCTGAGATCACAAGCCACCATGCCTGCCTCAATGACACCCACTTAATGAACTTATTTTTGTCATTCCCTGTTTTGTAATAAAATTTGACTGAAACCTTTTCCCATCCTTTATTGTGTAATTTTAATCTTCATTTTAAGCATAATCATCCAAAGCTGCCTTTGACTGTGCCCACTACTCTGTCTCTTCTACATCTTTCTCCAGTGTAGAAGGGAACATTCTAGGCCAAGGTGGTTTGACTTCTCATAAAGCCACAGTCATACACAGTCTAGAAGGTTCCACACCCAGCATTCATAGGACCCTAGTCACTTAAATGAACTCATAGTAGCACATCCTACCCTGAGAGCGGACGCCACATACCTTCCCCAGCACCCACTGCAGCTTCATGGCTGTCAATGTGCCCTGTGGCCAGCTTAAGAGCTGTGGCCTCAGCCCAGGGTTCCTTGGCTTGGCCCCCAGCCAGGCTAGCCACGGGCAGGAGGGGGCACTTACTTGGCTGGCAGGGCTCTGGGCTGCCTGTGGCTCTCCAGGGGGCTCCTCATCCTCGGGAATGTGGGGCATGGCAGCCCTCTGGCTGGAGTGGCCGTGCGTGCCCGGAACCTCCGCTGTGTCAGCCCCAAAGATGCTCCAAGAGGCTTGGGCTCCGCAGGCTGGGGAGATGCCAAAATGACAAGTCAAATTCCTTCCCATCCCTGCCCCAAGCTGGGTTCCATTTTCAGGAGCCAAGAGCCACAGACAAGCTGCTTGGGTTTGCATCAACGCCGGAGGTCAGGAGAGGCAAGGCTGGGATTGGGCATTCGGAACTGCTTTGCCTCCTGCTCTTGGCTTTGTTTACACAGGCAGAGGTGACCTTTTGCATCTAATTTGGTCCTTACAGTAAACACAGCTATTACAGAAGAAGTGCTTCAGCTCCTCAGAGCCATGGCTAAGGGAGGACATTTCGTTGGGATCAGATCGGCATGTGTATACCATCTATTGTGCTCCAAATGGCTGAGCGGCTACAATTATCTAACTGACTCCTCATGATGACTTCTGACATAGGTGTCGCCAATCTCATTCTATAGATGAGGGGACACACTACGAGGGTGGAAGCTACTTACCCTGAGTCACACAAAGAACTAAACATTTGCACCCAGATCTTCCTGGTTGGAGGCCAGGCCTCTTCCTACTATGCCACACAGTCTTTCCTGGTTTTTGTGGCCTGATTCTTCCCTCTAGAGGGCAATACCACTAACTGAATAACCACTGTGTCCCAGGTCTTGGTGAGTGGCTGCTGACTACATGAGCTACAGGAAAAGCCAGAAAATTCTGCTGTTCCCATGGCATGAGGTATCCTTCCTACCCCACAGTGAGGACCTGAGAAGACCCCCAAACCACACTGCTACAAGCCAGGCTGGTACCTGACACTGACCTGGCTCCCAGAGGCAGGTAAGGTGTCTCATTCATTGTGAATATTCAAAAAACCCATCAAAAAATGGTGGTTGATTTGTGTTTAGAGAACTTAGAGGCCTTTAATTGAGAAATTGTCAAGTTGGGCGCCATCTTGGCTTTTGTCAGGTATCCCCACACAACTCTGGAAGAGTTGGGGCGGCCCCTGCTGGTCATTTTGGAAATCTCACCTCAACTAAGCCATTAATGCACTGAATAATCTTTTTTTCTTTCCAGTGGTTTAAGACAGGATCTGATGCAGCCCAGGCTGACCTTGAACTCATTATATAATCGAGGCTAGTCTTGAACTCCCAAGCCTCCTGTCTCCACCTCCCAAGTGCTTGGATTAAGAACTCAATTCTTTAGCCTGGACCAGAGAAGCTTCAGGGGGAAGACAATCTCTTCTCAGATCTCTAAATGGTATTTGTGTAGTTCTGTTGTCCCCAAAGAACAGGTGTAGGACCAGGGACTTAACGGTCAAATGAAGGAAGCAAAGGAAGCTTCAAGTGGCTGGAGCCAGCTGAAGATGAAACTGCCTCTTCAAGCTCCTGAGTTTCCTGTTCCTGGGAGACTTCCAATACAGGCTGATGCAAGGGGTCATGGGATTCCCAACCACTTCAGGAGCCTTTTCCAACTCTGGAGTCCTGGACTATACCTAGTCACAAGCAATCAGTCACAGGCTGTTGTTCCCAGCCCAGAGTTCATTCAGGAATCCTGGTATTATAAAAAACCCATCAGAAATATCCCATTTTCTAACCCTCTACTTCCCTTCCTTACCTCCCTCTCGTTTCGTGACAGACCTTCACCAGTCCTAGGTCAGAAACAAAACCATCTTGAATGAAGTCAGATGAACCCTGAGATGTTGGCTGCACCAGGATGGACACTGGATGCAGGCCGACAGATGACAAAATGGAGCCCACGCTGATGGGGGTTGGGGGAGCCCCAGCAGCCCTGCTGCAAGCCATTCCCATGATGCTCAGGCCCCATTTGCTTTCCCATCCATCACTATAAACTTGCTGCTTAAAATAGCAAGGTAAAGGCCAAGTCCCACCCCCAGGGTAACATCTGGGGTTCTGCAGGGGCTCGTGGGCACATGGACCTCACATCCATGACAGCAGAGTTTGGAATACAACCTCCAAGACAGCGATCTGGAGCAGCGGCCCATAAAAGGAGAGAACACTGAGTCATGTTTGTCTCCCGGCTGCTCCTTCTCAACCCACTTCCGGGTCCTTCCCACTGCCTCTCTAGTTGGGTCAGAAAAGAGTTAGACCCTGTGGTGCTAAGAACCAGTCATCAACACTTTTAACCCTACTCATTAGGCTTCTGACCAGTGGTTAAACAGAACCTGGCCCATTTTAGAGTAAGGGAAACTGAGGCATGGGGAGGAGAAACAAGGCAGTGTTCAGTTACCTTTGTACCTGGGGTAAACTACCCAAGAGCCTCTGCTGGGATAACTATCCAATCATTTGTATAAATGAAAAGGTTAAAAGTTCCAAAATCATCCTTACATATTTTACCTACTTCATGAAAGAGAGCAAACTAATAAGCCTTTGCATTCACACATCAGGTGCCCTATGGAGAATCAGACACTACTACATAATATTAAGTGCTACCTTTCTACTTAACCTCTATGAAGTTGTTTATTTTGTTTCTATACAGTCCTAGAGGTTGAACCCAAGGCCTTGCACATGGGAGGCAAGCACTCTGCCACTGAACTCTACCCTCAACTCTTTGAGGATAGTTTTATTACTTTCATTTAATACAATAAAGAACTAGGGCTCAGAGAGACTCAGCAATTTGTTCAAAATCATCCAGCTAGTAACTGGCAGGTCAAGGATTATATTCTGGCCTAGTCTGAGTCTCAAGGCTATCATCTTCTCTTTCACTCTCGTGAATTCTGCTAGGGTACAGCCAAATAGCCTTGTGCAGGTCCCCTCTTAGGAAGGGAGAACCAGGGTATGAACTCCCAGAGGAAAGGAGAGGCAGTAACACCAAACCTTTGGTTATCAGGCCAGAAGTCTTCTGAGGAGAAAAGACGGGGGGCCTGTATGCTGGGGAGATGGCTCAGGAGGGAAGGTGTTTGCCACACAAGCATGGGGACCTGTGTTCAAATCCCCAGAACCCACATAAAGCTAAATGTGGGGGGTGGAGATATGGCTCAGCAGTTAAGAGCACTAGCTGCTCTTACAGAAGACCCAGGTTCAAATCCCAGCACCCACAAGGTGACTAACAATCCTCTGTGACTCCAGTTCCAGAGGATCTGATGCCTTCTTCTGGCCTGCGTGAGCACTGCATGATACAGGTGCCCTTACATGCATGCAGGCATAAAAATAAAAGTATTTTTTTTAATGTGGTAGTATGCATCTATAACATCCCAGAGCTCCTAAGGCAGGATGGGAGGGGAAGACAGGAGATTGCCAAGAAACTTCCAGGCCAACTAGCCTGTTGTAGTACCTGGTAGAAACAGGAAACACTGCATCAAATAAGGTGAAAGACAGGACCGATACCCAAGGTTGTCCTCTGACGTCCAAACATGAGCTGTGGCACACATGCACCTGTACTCACATATAAACATCCACCCATACACACTCACAGAGATTACAGAAAAGAGGGAGCCCACAACTTGAGGCCGCATGCCCCCACTGTGTGGTATGGCAAATGTGCTCATTCACAAGGGATCAGCCCATCCATTGGCCTTGCTTCTGATTCTTCTGTTCACACAACTGTCCATAGACTTGTTCAGCCAACATCCACACCAGGAAGTCCCACACTTAGGTCCAGAACCCGGGCTCTGCCCCAGGAAGAGCTGCTGTAGAATCCTGTGAGCTGTGTTTTGCTATGTCCCAGCAAGCTCGAGGTTATCATCAGGAGTCAGGGGGAAGAACTGAACAGTCTCTGCAGAGATACCTCTCAGTGTTCTCAGTCTCCCTGGGAGGTGGCAATGTAAGTACTGATATAGTTAACATAATCAGTCTGATTTTACAGATGAGCAGGGGCCTGGAGACATTGCCCAGGAACGGCAGTGGCAGGTACTCCCAGCATATCTACCTGACTCTCTAGCGCTCCAGAGCCTTGTGATTGGCCTAGAAATGATCAGACCCCTTGCTTGACCTACAGTGTCCTGGGAGCATGGGCTGGCCCACATGCAGTATGGCTCTCACTGGCTTCATTAATCTAGGTGTCAGGGGAAGAGTCAAAAGGCCATGATAGGAAGCAGGGGGTTAAGCCTGCCTCACAGACCTCAATGGCATGACTCATCTCCTCAGAAGAGAGAGTTTTGTTCTTCCAGCTTGGAATTTTTGCTTTCATTTAGCACTCAAAGAATGTGAGTGTGATTAAGCTGCTATTGATATCTGGCCTTTCTCTGGACTAAGGGCTGAGACAGGAGACTGTTTGGGGTGACTATATACATCTCTTGGCTGTTTCCCTGCTCCCACTCTTGTAAATGGGGAGCTGAGGCTGAGGGGGGACAGAGACATGACCAAGGCCACACCTGGGGAGGAGCAGTATGGGTTCATAAACCCCTGCCTCTAGGCTCCAAGTTTGGAGACTGACTGGAGCATAAGGCAAGCCAGTGTGTCTTCACTGTGACAGCATGGCCTCTAGTTCCTCTCTGTGTATAGGAGAGAGGCCCCTTCTGTCCCTGCCTTCACCCAGGGTGGCCTTGGGGAATGTCTTCAGACATCCAAGATGAGCTTAAGGCACTGAGCAGGACCTCTGTGGCCTGGTCAATGCCGAGCTGTGTCCTGCATCCCATGTATGCTAAGTAGAGGTACTGTAAGAGTTCAAGAGCTCAGCAGATCCAGTTTGGACTAGGCTCTGCCTGGCTGGTTTCGTCTTCCTTGACCTCAGGTTCCTCATTTGTAAAAGAAAGAAAAAAAGAGATGACAGTGCCTAACTTTAAGGATTGGTATGAGGATTGCATTAAGAAACTCAGGCAACATGCTGGCACACAACATGCCCTCTGGAAATTTCCAGCCTTCCCAGCTCCAGATAGGCAGTTGAGTTCTCCCAGCCCCATCATATTCAAAACCCCAACGCGGCCTCGATATTTGGCCACTCATCCTGGTGGCTCAGAATCAGCACATGGGCCTCAGTTGGGCCAGGACCTCTCCCCTGTACATACTAGCATCAGATATCATGGGAGCTAAACGATAAGGTCTGTGAGTGCTGGTGATGCCCACGCTCTGTTGGTTGGCAGCTGCTGGCTACAGGATCATGA